CAGGGTTCATGCTTCATGAAAGAGTCTGTCGGACATTCTGCAGGAGACAGAAGGAAGAAACTGATGGACTTTGCCATTACAAGGCAGAACAGATCTTCAAATTTCCTGCTTCATGGAAAAGTCTGCCAGATAGTCTTGCCTGTAGTTTAAAAATGGATGCCACAATATTATAGGAGAACTCTGGGTGACTGTCTCAAAATGTCTCTGTCAATTCTAGAGTTCTGGAAGTTGTTTACAAAGCACTTCCTGTTAACTGGTAATATTATATCCTTCTGCAGTCTTTGATGGAACTGAAGAATAGGTAGTTACAATGATAACTTTCCTTAGTTATGATAAAAAATAAACTATATAAATATTGTTACTATAATCTTGCTTGATACCTGTTTTTATATGTAATTTTACTATGCTAAAATTAAAACCTTCCTCTTTATTTAGACAGAAAAGGAAAAGTGATTTGGGATTCCTGTCAGAATGCTGTGAATACTTTTGGTTAATGAATGAAGAAGTCACTTTGTCCTGTGATAGGTCAGAATAGAGCTAGGCAGGAAAACTTAACTGAATGCTGGGAGAAAGAAGGCAGAGTCAGAGAGATGCCATGTAATTGCTGGAAAAGACAGATGCTAGAACCTTGCCAGTAGGTCATGACCTTGTGGTGATGCACAGATTCATAGAAATGGGTTAATTCAAGATGTCAGAAATTATCAATAAGAAACCTAAGCTAATAGGCCAAGCAGTGCTGTGGTTATGGATTCTGTGTAATGATTTTGGGTCTGGGTGCTCAGGAAACGAATGATCAGCCTCCACTAACAACTGAGTAAGTCAAAGATACTCCCGAACAGACACTATGACCAGCAGTAGTAGATCAACACAAAACAAACACTGTTGGATTTTGTGATTGTGGTATCATTGGGGGCTGTTGTTTTTGTTGTAGCATTTTTGTCTATTGGTTTCAATTTGGGTATAGATTTAAGAAAGAAAGGTTATGAACTTGGATGTGTAGGAAGATAGGTAACAATCTAGAAGATATTGGATTGGAAAACATCAAAATATATTGTACGTGTAAAATTTTTAAAGCAAAACTGGAGGAAAACTCTCTTCAGATATTTGAAGTATACATGGTTTGCACCAATTATACCCAGTTCTAGAAACAGGTCCCTGGTACCTAAAGGTAAAATTTCAATTTCATCTTATTTTACACTCAGAATCTTTATCCTCAAATTGTTTGCATCATATTTAACATTTCAAGTTTTAAAAAATGTATACAAAGTAGTTTCAGTGCTCATTTAAATCTGCAGCATCACTGTGAGATCCAGGAATTTAGGCATCCTGATTCTAGGTATACTAGATCACCTGTGATTATAGTGTCCACGTTTCTTCCTTTTTGTTTTGTTAAGTATTGAGTCAGCTTTGGAGTTAGTGAATTCAAGGCAAATTCTCTACCATCCAACCACACATGCTGTCCTTCTAGTCTCATTGTTAGTAGCTGTACACAAATTCTCTAAGGTTGACTTCAGGATACAGTCGATTAGGCTTTTATTGATTTCTTTATCTGTCTTATGAATGTTAGGGACAGACTGACATGTATTTCAACAGTATTTGAAGACATACAAATCCTCCACTGTCATAATGACATTGATGTTTCATCACAGAATCTTTCTCTTTAAGGCTCCAAGTTCATGCGACTTAAATATAATATGATAACAATCAATGCTATGCTATTTCAATGTTATGATACTTAGAGACTAGGGAATCTGGTTGAATTTTAAATTGTCTTTCCAACCTCATATTGATGAATTAAAAATGGTCAGTGTATAATTGCAAAAGGATATCTCCTCTCCTATTGTCAAGTATAAGTAAGTACCTGGATGATTCCAGACATCAAGTAAATATTCTGATGCTTTCCTTCATATTGATGCTTGTTATGCTCTAATGATACCCTCTCTTCACTGGAAGAATTTATGATTTTATTGAATGTTTTGTAGAAATATGGTTTAAAGAAACAAAAATGATCCACTGATTCCTTTAAAATTTTGTGAAACTATTTTCTCTATCTCTAATTTTTTAAAAACAGTATTTTTGCTTTTTAATTTTCTAAATATATTTTCTCTCTCTAATATTTGACCAAACTATATTTGCTTCGTATATCATACTTTTTGTAAACAAAACTGAATCTAAAATATTTCAGGTTTTCCCCCATAACAAGGTCTTTATTTTATCACTCTAAGTATCTTATACTAGTACTAAATTCAGTTTATCAAAGAATGGTTCTTAAAATGAAGTGCTTTAGGATAGGAATGACACATCATGATTATTTAAATATGTTTTTTTAAAGTGTGTTTCAGTTTTGGTTAGGAATATGAGTTTCATTTTATGAATTTAGTTCCGTGTTGAACTCTGTAGGTGACCATTTTTTATTTCTGCTTCCAGCCTTGGTTTTTAGCGTATGTGATTATATGAAAGAAACAGACAGGTTGATCAAAAGAATATGATAAGCTTAGCTATGAAAATATTCTGATTTTGAAATATTCTCTTATTTTTAACTTTAATTCACAACAAATTTAATTTAATTGAAATTCAGCTATGTTCTCATTATTATGTTTCATTATTGTTATGAATTTTAGCAAGACATTCCTGAGAATATTCTGCAAAACGGTACAGATGACTTCCAAACAATGGGTTCCAAACAATATGAAAATACAGAAGCACAAGAAGGTAATGTACACACTTCTCTTATAAGATCATTTATCAGGAGCTTAAAACATGGAGACAGATATTTTAGCCAAATAGAATAACATAGTACGTTTCCATATGGTTTTCCAAGTAGAATTTTAGTAAATTCTACATCCCCATATTTCCACTATGGCCTCTCTCTTCCACTGCCCTTCCCATTTGATTGTAGTAATAAGTGTAGTGGGGCTGCGTCCCCAGCACCCCGGCCACCTGCTAGCTTATGCCCGAAATAACAACACACAAACTCTATTCATATAAGCACTGCTTGGCCCATTTCTATCTAGCCTCTTCTAGGCTAATTCTCACACCTGGACTAGCCCATTTTTAATAATGTGTGTAAGCACCCCAAGGTGCGCTTACCGGGAAGATTCTAGCCTACGTCCATCCTGGGTTGGAGCTGCCTGGGAGAGCGGAGCCTGGCGTCTCTGCTCCAGAGAGCAGAGCTGTCAAGTCTGAGCTCACTTCCTCTTCCTCCTAGCATCCTATTCTGTTTACTCCTCCCACCTATGTTTTAACCTATCAGGGCAAGGAGTTTCTTTATTGATTAACCAATGAAATCAACAGATTGATATATGATACTCCCACATCATTTGATCCTCATTCTGGTTTTCTATTCCTATATATTCTATTTCCTATTATTTGAGTGATCCTCTCCAGAATTCCTTTACTTGATGCAGAATCATAGTTGTAGTATAGTTTTTAGCATATATGTTGAAGGCTTAAATTCTAACACCCACATAAAAGGGAATACATGCAATATTTAACATTGGAATCTGATCCCTACACTCACGATAATTTTTTCTAACTTTGTACATCTATATGTAAATTCCATACTTTACTTTTTTGATAGAAGTAAAATAATATAAATGCACAAAATTTTCTTTATATACTCATAAGTCAAAGGACCTCTAGGCTGTTTCCTAAATCTGACTATTGTAACTAGACCAATAATGCACATGTTTGAGCAGGTATTTATGTAGTAGGATATAGAGTCCTTTGGGAATATGCTAGAGAGATGTACATGTAGACGTTGAGAGGGTCAATATCCAGCTTCTAAAGAAAATACCCCAGTGATTTCCATAAAAAATGTACAGGTTTGCATTCTCACAACAATGATTAAGTGTTCCACTTTTGCCATTTTCTCACAAGCATGAATTGACATTTCTTAATTGATCTTAGCCTTTCAGACAGGAGTAAAATGAAATCTCTAATAGTTTGGTTTGCATTCTCCTGATGAATAACGATATTGATCATTTATTTAATAGTTCCTCAGTTATTTTTGTTTCATCTTTTAAAAATTCTCATTGTATTCATGCACACCACGTCTATTGAGTTGTTTATGTTCTGAGAGTCCAGCTTTGTCTTCTTTATATATTTTAGATATGGTGTGTTAGATATTTGAATGTTAACAATCTTTTCACATTCTCTAACCTGATGCTTTTCCCAACTGATAATTTCCTTTACCATAAAGAATGTTTGTTTCATGTGATTCCACTTATTAAATGTGGGTCTTAGAGCTGTGCTACAGGCCTTTTTGAAAGTCTTTTCCTGTGCCAGTGAGTTCAAGCTTGTTCCACACTTTCTTTTCTGTCATATTTAGGGTTTGTGGTCTTATTTGAAATCTTTGATCCATTTGGAATTGAGTTTTGTCAGGGTAAGAAATATTGGTCTATGCACATTCTTCTTCATCTAGCCATATAATATGGTCACCATCATGAATTACAGATATTTTTTATCCAGTATGTATTTCTGTATTCTGTATCAAAACATAGGTGTCCATTGGTATCTACATTTATGTTTGAACATCAGTTTGATTTCATAGATTAACAAGCCTATTTTGATGTGAAACCACACTATTTTTATTACTCTAGCTCTGTAATAAAACATGCAATCTGGGACAGTGATTTCTGAAGCCTCATGTAGTACTAAGGATCATTTTAACTCTTCACAGCTCTTTTTGTTTGTTTAATTGCCTGATTTTGTATTTATATATGAAGCTGAAAGATTTTTTTGTTGTGGCTGGTATTTTTTCTAATTTCTTTGTCAAATTATGTTGGAATTTTGAAGGGGTTTACATTGACTATATAAATAGCCATGAATATATAGGTGTACATTTTTGTATATTTTCATTACCTGCTGTCCTAAACAGTAAATAATAGGTGTTCCTTTTGAAAAAAAGAAATGAGAACTCATTGTCATTCCCAGCCTGCATAAAGGTAGCTTTGCAGTTGTCATTGTACTTGAGATTGACTATACATTCTTTTTGTTATAGTTTGGGCCAAAAAATGTCTGCATCCAGAGGTAAATGCCTTATAATATTTATACTGAAAAATTACATGCAGATTGAAGTCTAAAACATTAAATGAATATCTCATTTCAAAATTCATTCAGCTGAGGGATTATAGTCATCAAATCTCCAAACCTGAGACTGAACCACAGCAATCTCAACCAGGTAAGTTTTGTAAGTCACACTCTCCTGATCATTGTATTTTAGTATATTTCCAATGCATATAGTCATCCTGATAACAATTAGATCTTGATGTTAATGATGGTAGGGTTTCTCATAAGCAATGCCATTACACTAGTGGCATTCATGCCTCAAACTGTTCACAATGCCATATAAAATATTTATAAATGTAAACTCAGCTTTAATATTAAATACTCATGTTTAAATGCCTTCACCTTCCCGGTGTACAATCTCTCTCTTTATTAGTGACTTATACAAGTCAACCATAAGAATTATGATACTTCTCCAGTATTTGAACATGATTTCTTGATATCTACTTCTCAGAATGCAAACCTATATTCAAAGTTTCCAAAACGGACACATATTTGAGCTAAGTGATTCAATTCAAACTACAATATACCACATCTTCAGAAAAGAAAATCAGTTTTTTTCTTGTTCTAGAACTCAGAGTGCCCTCCTTACCTTCATCTATAGTGCACTGCAATTTTTACAAGGAATAGGAAACATATTTATAAATCATATCTCAAATCTATGTAATTTAACACAACATACATTATCATATGATCCCTGAAAGTATGGTTCAGCAGTTAAGAGCACTGTCTGGTCTTCCAAAGGTCCTGAGTTCAAATCTCAGCAATCACATGGAGGCTAACAACCATTTGTAATGAAATCTTAGGTCTTTTTGAGGAAGAGATTTGGTCAGTCATCCTCGTCAACTTAGACCATAAAACCCCAAATAGACAAGTTCAACAGAACTACCCATGCGTGCTTCATCATTGCCAAGGCATTAAAAAAACACTATCATATGGTGGAGCAGCCATTGAGAATCCTATTCCTTGTATTCATATCCTGTCTTTTAAGAAGAAGCCTTCTTCAGAAGGCTTCAGTTTCATGTGGTTCCACTTATTAAGTGTGGGTCTTTGCTACAGGTGGGCTCTTCAGAAAGTCTTTTCCTGTATCAGTGACTTCAACCCTATTCTACACTTTCCCTTCTGGCATATTCAGGGTACCTGGTCTTATTTTGAGACCTTTGATTCATTTGCAGTTGAGTAAGAGATAAAGGTCTATGTGCATTCTTCTTCATGCAGCCATCATATTTGGTCAGCACCCTGTGTGAGAGCTGTGTTTAATCCAGTGTATATTTCTAGGGATTTTTAAATCAAATATCAAGTTTCCATTGGTGTGCGGACTTATGTTTGTATTCAGTTTGATTTTACTAACCATCATGGCTATTATAATGCTAACATCATGATGTTTTTATTCTTTTACCACCAAACAAATATGAAATCTCAGACTGTGGTTTCCCCAACTTTTTTAGTATTGAGGATTGTTATACCATTACACAATGTTTAATATTGTTTTTGTTTTGTTTTGTTGTATTTATATATAAAACTGAAAGTCTTTTTGATGCTGTTGTAGTTGTTTTTCCAATTTCTCTTACAAATTATGTTGGAATCTCGATGTGGGTTACATTGAATCTGTAGATTGATTTTGGTAGGTCTTAGTAAATTTCTGTCAACTGCTGTCATGAATAGTAAAATAATAGGTGTTATTTTAAAAGAAAGGAATGAGAACTCGTTGCCATTCAAATCCTACATAAAGAGAGTTTTAGAGTTCCCATTAAATATGAGATTGATTAGATATATTTTCCCTTTCAGTGTGGGCCTACAAATGTCTGCACCCAGAGGTAAATTTCATTCAATATTTATATTGAATAATTACATGTTGATTGAAGTCCAAAATATTGATTAAATATATCATTTCAAAATTCTTTTAGCTGCAAGATTCTGTTCAACAAATCTCCATACCCAAGACTGAACCACAGCAATTGCAAGGAGGTAAATTTCATGAGACACATTCTTCTGAGCAATGCATCTTAATACATTTCAAGTGCACACAGTCTTAATGATACCAACTATATCTTGATGATATTGACAGTTGTATTTGACATACGCAATGCTATTTCACTAGTAACATATGTGATACAAAGTGTAACTTTGTGATAGGGGAGGATAGAGCAGAAAAACTAAATGAATACTGGGAGAAAGTAGGCAGACTCAGAGAGATGTCATACAGTCGCCACAGGAGACAGATCCTGGACACTGGCGGGAACCTTTCCAGTAGAGCACAACCATGTGGCAATAACAGATTAATAGAAATTGGTTAATTTAAGATGGAAGGGTTAACTAGAAACATGCACAAGTTAAAAAGCCAAGCAGTGATTTAATTAATATAATTTCTGTATAATTATTTTGGGTCTGAGTGACTGGGAACAAATGAGCAGCCTCCAACAACATGTTGTCAATGTTTACTAATCAGGTTCAATCACCTTAACTTTTCGAGGATGCATTCCCTTTGTTTTAGTGACTTACAGAAGTCAACTATGAGACTAATAAACCTTCCCCAGTGTTTGAACATGATTTCTGGATATATGGTTCTCAGAATTCACTGAAAATAAACTACCTGGCCTGGAAAAGCATAATATATAACACAGCTGTAGTGCATTGCAACTGATTGACAGGCAATATTACTGGTATTTTTTAAATCATATCTATAATCTATTCCAATAAATTAAGGTACACTATCATATGACAAGCAGTTATTGAAAAATCCCATAACTTATATGCATATCTTGTTTGTTTTTCCATTTTTTTTTCAATTCTCTGTACTCTGTTGTCTGAACTCAATCTATCTGCATCAGAACAGGCATTATATCAGTAAAGAAACCATGTCTGGAGTGTCCTACTTGCAAAAGCTAAAGTCAAAACCTGTCAGGATCACACTAAGAAACTAAAGGGAAATAAAAAACAGAATCAAATGAGATCTTTTGATCTAAGGATAATCTTAAATAGAATTCCGACATGTCAAGGAGAAAAATGATACACCTGTAATAAAATGGGTTTCAGCTGAAGTGACAAGGAAGGGTTTAAGCATTATCTTGAATTAAGTTAGCTCATTTTTCTTGGAAAAATAAGGTATATAGAACAGAATGACTCCATATGCTAAAATGTGTCATAAAAGAGCAAGTTTTCAGTGTAGACTATAAGTATGTAATCCTGTTCACAGAAAAATGTTTGGTAAACTGTGTATAATTTTGATGACGTGATCATTGAGATATTTAAAGTTATTCTTACAAGGCAGAAAAGTGTACAGAGTGGACGTGCTATTTTCCCACATATTCTTCATAGTGGATGTAAGCATATATGTCATTTATGAGTTCTCTAAAAAATCGTATAAAGCAAGTATGACTCAAAACTTGCCAATATATAGTACCTATAAAATGTTAATGTTTCTACAATTACAAGATTTCCTGATGATATAAATATAATAATAATCTACATTTTTAATTGGAATAACATAAAAAATTAAACTGCTAGCTTTAAATAAATCCCTTTTTAAAACTATTCATTTTTATTGAGTATTATTTTGCCTAATTGTTTCATATTTTTATGTAAAAGATACAAATTTCTCAGAAGAAATAGATGAAGAAATACAGGAATATAAGATGGAAAAAGAAGAAAGTCTTGATAGGATTGAAGAAAATCCAGAATTTGTATGTAAAATTTCAATTTCTCATTTCCTATTATTGACTTTAATAATATTGCCATAGGCCTACATGCTACATTTTAAACCAACTTATACAGTCAACATATTAATAATTTAATATTAAAATGACAGTATTTAATCTCTTATTAATTACAGAATATTCTTAGAATCCCATGACATATTTTTCCTTGGTGTGTAGTAAGCAAATGTCTGATAAGTGTAATTGCTTCCTTTTTAATGTACTTAAACACATGGGTTTCTTCAATTTCTTTCATCAAGGATTTAAAGTTCTTGTCATACAAGCCTTCCACTAGTTTGTTTAGAGTTACTCCAAGATATTTTATGCTATTTGAGGCTATTGTGAAGGGTATTGCTTCTCTAATTTCTTCCCCAGCCCTTTTATCATCTGTGTACAGGAGGACTTCTGATTTTTTTTTAACTTAATCTTGTATCCTGCTACATTACTGAAAGAGTTTATGAGTTGTAGAAGTTCCTTGGTAGAGTTTTGGGGATTGCTTTTGGACACTATCGTATCATCAGCAAACAGTGAGAGTTTGACTTCTTTTCTGATTTGTATTCCCTTGATCACCTTTTGTTGTCTTATTGCTTTAGCTAAAACCTCAAGAACTCTATTGAAGAGATATGGAGAGAGTGGACAACCTTGTCTTGTTCCTGATTTCAGTGGAATCGCTGAGAGTATCTCTCAATTTGGTTTGATGTTGGCTGTTGGCTTGCTGTATATTACCTTTATTATGTTTAGGTATGTTCCTTGTATCACTGCTCTCTCCAAGACCTTTATCATGAAGGGATGTTGTATTTTGTTGAAAGCTTTTTCAGCATCTAATGAGATGACCATGTGGTTTTTATTTTTCAGTTTGTTTATATGGTGGATTATGTTGACAGATTTTTGTATGTTAAACCATCCCTGCATCTCTAAGATGAATCCGACTTGATCGTGGTGGATGATGGTTCTGATTTTTTCTTGTATTCGATTTGCCAGTGTTTTATTGAGTATTTTTGCATCAATGTTCATGAGTGAAATTGGTCTGTAATTCTCTTTCTTAGTAATGTCTTTCTGTGGTTTGGGTATCAGGGTAATTGTAGCCTCATTAAAAGAGTTTGGCATTGTTCCTTTTGTTACTACTGTGTGAAATAATTTGAGGAGTGTTGATTTTAGCTCTTCTTTGAAAGTCTTTTAGAATTCTGAGCTGAAACCATCTGGTCCAGGGCTTCTTTTGGTTGGGAGACTTTTGATGATTGTCTCTATTTCTTCATCAGTTATAGGTCTGTTTAATTTGCTTATCTGGTATTGATTTAATTTTGGCAAGTGATATTTATCCAGAAAGTTGTCCATTTCCTTTATGTTTTCCAATTTTGTGGACTAAAAGTTTTCAAAATGACCTGATGATTCTCTGTATTTCCTTTGTGTCTGTTGTTATGTCTCCCCTTTCATTTCTGATTTTGTTAATTTTGATATTCTCTCTCTTCCTTTAGGTTAGTTTGGATAAAGGTTTATCTGTTTTGTTGATTTTCTCGAAGAACCAATTCTTTGTCTCATTGATTCTTTGTACTGTTTTCTTTGTTTCTATTTTGTTGATTTCAGCTCTCAATTTGATTATTTCCTGCCCTCTAGTTCTCTTAGGTGAATTTGCTTCTTTTTGTTCTAAAGCTTTTAAATGTTCTCTTAATTCACTAGTGTGGGATTTTTCCAGTTTTTTTTTTATGTAGGCATTTAGTGCTATGAACATTTCTCTTAACACTGCTTTGTGTCCCATAAATTGGAGCATGTTATGCTGTCATTTTTATTGAATTTTAGGAAGTCTTTAATTTCCCCCTTTATTTCTTCCTTGACCCATTGATGATTCGGGTGAACATTGTTTATTTTTCATGTGCTTGTGGGCTTTCTGGAATTAGTGTTGCTGTTGAATTCTAGTTTTAAGTCATGGTGATGTAATAAGATACATGGGATTATCCTAATTTTTTTGTATCTGTTGAGTTTTTTATTTCCAAGTATGTGGTCAATTTTAAAGAAGGTTCCATGAGGTGTTGAGAAGAAACTTTAATCTCTTATGTTTTATGGAATATTCTATAGATGTTTGTTAAGTCCATTTGAGTCATAGCATCTGTTAACTCTCTCATTTCTCTGTTCATTTTTTGTCTGACTGACCTGTCCAGTGGTGAGAGGGGAGTGTTGAAGTCTCACACTATTAGTGTATGGAGTTTAATGTATGATTTAAGCTTTAGATGTGTTTCTTTTACATATGAGGTTGCCCTTGTGTTTGGGGCATAGATGTTCAGTATTGTGATTTCCTCTTGATGGATTTTTCCTGTGACTATTATGAAATGGCCTTCTTTGTCTCTTTTGAATGATTTTAGCTTGAAGTCTATTTTGTTAGATATTGAATAGCTACTTACACTTGTTTCTTAGGTTCATTTGATTGGTATATTTTTCCCAACCCTTTACTCTGAGGCAAAGTTTTTCTTGAGGTTGAGATGTTTTCTTGTATGCAGAAGTATGGATTCTGTTTTTGTATCCAATCTGTTAGTTTGTGATTTTTTATAGGTGAGATGAGTCCATTTACATTAAGGAATATTAATGACTAGTGATTGTTATCTCCTGTTAATTTAGTTTTCATTGTTAGTGATGTTAATTTGTGCATTATTCTCTTCTTTGGGATTTGCTGCTATGTGACCATCTGTGTTATTGTTGGTGTAGCCAACTTCCTTGGATTGGAGTTTTCCTCCTAGTATTTTGTGTAGGCCTGGGTTTTAAGAATGCAGTGATGATGGTATCCACCACAACTCTATTTAACTCCTCTATTTCAGTCTACAGATGGATGGATTTTAAAGAATAAAGGCTGCTTACCACAACTTTAATCAAGTAGTGATACCAATTGTGACTCCAATACCACATGTGGTTTCTTGAGAATTTTTGCATCGATGTTCATGAGTGAAATTGGTCTGTAATTCTCTTTCTTGGTTGGCTTTTTTCATTGGGAGGTTTTTTTATGACAGCTTCTATTTCTCATGACTTATAGGTCTATTTAAATTGTTCTCCTGGTCTTGATTTAATTTTGGTAAATGGTACTTATCTAAAAAACAAGTCCATTTCTTTTACATTTTCCAACTTTGTGGCATATAAGATTTTGTAGTAAGACCCAATGATTCTCCGAATTTCCTCAGTGTCTGTTGTTTTGTCCCTCTTTTCATTTCTGATCTTGTTAATTTGCAGATCTCTCTCTGCCTTTTGATTAGTTTGGATAAAGGTGTGTCATTCTTGTTGATTTTCTCAAAG